ACACAAAGTACAAAAAAAAAAAAAAAAAAAAAATATATATTTATATATATATATAAATAATTAAAACATGCAAAATATTCTTATAATTATATATTAAAAAAGAAAAATTTATATGTAAAATTTTAACATAATATCTCTTATAATTCTATTTTTTCCATTACTTTTTCTTTTTACATTTTTTTTAAGTAAATATCAATATAATATGGAAATATAAAACATTCATTAGTTAGAAGAAAATTTAGATTTTTTTTTTTTTTTAATGAAAAAATAGTTGCATTAATTTCTTTGTGTATTTTAGAAGAGATATGTTGACTTAAATAAATAGAATTTAAATAATTATAATTATTTAAAAAAAATAAAAAAAAATGGAGATTTTCCATGCCTAATTTAAATAATATATTATATATATATAAATAGGTATATATAATACACAATAATTGAATATTTTGAATTGATAAGAAATTAACGAATTTATTTATTTCATCTTTGTTTTCATTTAAATATAATGGTTTTGATTTTGAATATAAATTATCTTTAATTAAAAAATTAAGCTGCTTCAAGAGAATAGAATAAATATAATTTTGTCTACCATTATTTAAAGCTATTGAAAATAAAAAGTTAATCAAAATTTTAATACTTAAATCTTTATCATCACAAAATATTTTTTCCATTCTTTTGATTTTGGTATTGAAAAATAATTGTTTTAAAAAAAAACTTTCTTTATTTCTATATTTATAAAAGTAATCTAATTTTGATAAAAAAATATAAATAGAAATTATACTAAAATAAGAATAATTTTTAAGAAATTTATTTCTATTTTTTATTAGGTAGTTAATTAAGTTATATGTTATCCTTATATTATCCTTATTTATGCTTTCTTCTTCATTTAAACAATGTTTTTCAAAATTCTTTGTTTTTTTTAAAACCAAAAAGTTGCTAACACTATTAATAAACATACAAATTTCTTTTTCTTTATATATAAAAAATATTTTATTTGTTATTTCGTTTAATAATATATTTAAAATGGGATTATGACAATAATTGTAGCAACTAAGTGTATAAAAAAAAATTAATTCATATTTATCTTTTTTATCAAATATAAAAAAATTCCCATTATTAAAATTTCCATTAGTATTATATATTTTCATTGAATTATTATTTTTATTCAAGTATTCTTCTATATTTCTTTCATTAATTATGTAATCATTTGCTTTATTCAAATTATCTTCCTTTTTATTTACCTTCTTATTTTCATTTATTATCTCATTTTTATAATTGTCCACCTTAATGAATCTTTTATTTGATATATTATTTTCTTCAACTTTAGGAATTTCTTTTTTTCTATAATTATTTTTAAAAGATATATTCATTGTCAAAGTGTGACTTTTCTTTTTGTAATTATCTTCTTTTAATTTTAAAATTTTTATTGAAATATAATTTAAAAAATCCATAACCTTATTTTTCTCATAACCATACCTATATAGAGAATGTAATATAATTATTAATTGTTTCAATGTGTAATTAGAATATTTGTTAAAAACATAAAAATAATAAATATCATCAATAATTTTTTTTTCATTTATTATGTTCAATTTATATAAATTATTTAAAATTATACATACACTCTTACAATTTAAATTATAAAATAAAGTGTTTTTACTATTTTTATTTAATCTTATAACTATTAGCTCATTTATTTTTTTATTAACAATATTACATTTTCCTTTTATATCTAATAACAAAGTTATATCTTGTTCATTCATAGAATTTACATATTCTTCAAAGTGTAATATATAAGAATTCATCATATTTTTTAAAATTTTTTTTTTTTTTTCTTCTTTCATTTTTAACAATATATTCATTAAACCTTTTAAAATTAAAATATAACTTTGATTATTATATATTTTTTCTTTAAATAATTTCGTAATATTTTCATTTATAACTATAGCTTCTTCATAATTTTTCTCATACATATTCTGACTTTTTTTATAAAAATCATATGATAACTTTTTTAAATAATTAAATTTTTCATTTTTGTTAGAACTTATAAAAAAACGATATACTTTAAAAACATCTCTTTTCATTCTTGTCAATTAAAAATATACATAATATAAATAAATTATATATATAGACAAAATTATGAATTTTCTTAAGATAAACATTTTAAAATTATATTTTTCAAAAATAAATACTTAAACTAAATACATAATAGTTACTTTAATACTAATTTTAAAAAATATATATTATAAAATATTAATTAAAAAAATTGAAAGATTTTTATATATAATAATTTTCAAAAAAAGATAATAAAAAGTAGAATATTAAAAAAAAAAAAAAAAAAAACATTAAAAAAAATACAAAAAAAAAAAAAAATAAAAAAAAAAAAAAAAAAAAGAAAAAAAAAAA